TTTGTAAATTTGTTACAATTGTTTTGCGATTGCAATATCTTGGTTGCAAACATCTCAATAGTTCAATTTAAATATTCCTTTTTTTGTAAACGTTGCCACGAGGTCAAAAGACTTAGCACGTCTACCTGTTTGAATTGAATAAAAATTAATAATGAAATGAAATGAAATTATTTAACTTACAGTTACAACTTTTTCAAAAAAAAAAAATAAGTATCAATATTTTAAAGTTATTTATTAAATAGTCTCATTTGGTCATTTTAATTTGTAATAATAGATGGTTTTTATTAGATATTTCTAATAATGATATTGTTTATTTAAATAAATAGCTAACTAATCATCAATTATAATAATTTTTTAATTTAATTTTTAGTTACAGTATAAAGTTGTAAATTTTTTAAAATAATTTGTTCAAACTAAATATGCTGTTGAATAAGATATGACGTTTACAATAAAAACGATTTATTGTTATGGTTTATGGGTTCAGCCTCTAAGGGTCCGCGCGGTTTATTATTAGGAGCACAACCTTTTCTACGCTGATTGTAGCTGTAGATCTATTTACAGACCTGTATCTATAAATCTATCTACAGACTTGGACCTACATACCTATATCTGTAGATCTACCTGTAATAAACACATTTCTTGCTATTATTTATTTTTAAAAACGTTTCAATACCTTCATAGATATGTTTATGCAGTATTATTTTTCTTTTGAAGTGTTTACGAATGAATTTATGCATAATATACTCTCTACATAATACGAGTATACACACATATATACACATATGATAAATTCTCCAACATCTAGCAATTTTTCAAAAGTCAAAGTGAACGTTTTGTACTTACGATAAACTTTGGTCATGTTGGCCAGCGCCCAAACGGCCCATTTCTGACACTCGGGTGTGTGATAAACCTTGACCAAGTATAAAATCGGTTCAAACGAACGATAATTAATATTCCTTTGCGAATTTAAATCCCATCGGTCGATGGCACGCACCATTTTATTCAAAACGTAAGCCCTAGTAGGTTGAAAAACAAGCCAGACGTCTGGACCGTCTGAAGCAATGTGTGATATGACTCCAGCGGCGTTGTAACTCACTTCAATTCCGTCACTACGCGAATCCAAAAGGTCCGAAAAAACAGTCAGGTATTTCGACGTGACGAGAAAGTGGCGCAATTCGCGGACTTCTGCCACGTTRCCCAACAGCCCCATCATGTTTCTCAGGAGTTCGTCTTTGTTGGGGAATTTCTGAGTCAAAATTAAATTAATTAGAATTAAAAAAGCCACAAATTTAAATGCAAAAACATAACTTCAGTAATTTAAAAAAATGAGTATTTTTTAATTAGGTTATTTTTCTACATGATTCAAACAATTTTTCTTTTAAAAGAAGTTTTAAACCATAAAATACCTCAAGACACTGTAGGAAGTACTCCATTCCCTTGATTTCTAAAAATTTTCTACAATTAGAAGGCGTTTCATCGGTGACGTTCCACATGGTTGACCAAGCCACTTCTAAAACATCATCACAGTGTCCTCTTTCCAGTCTATCAGCAATCAACCATATCATTTTCTACAAAACACAAATTAACAATTTCAATAATAAAACAAAAATCATTCATTCATACATCAATAGCTCCAAGTTCTCCTAATTTCGCTTTTTGTTGCCTATCGACCTGACAAGCTAAAGAATTCAAAAGATATATTCCTATCCTCTGAACGAAACTTTCTTGAGCCATTCCATGCACCGAATGTAGCAGAATATCGACCAATCGTTCGTAATCAAACAACTATAGAAAAAATCCCGAGTAGAACACATTTTTTTTTCTAATTTCAAATAAAACTCACCACATCCGAAGGTATTTTAAATTGACACAAAGTCAAGCACCCATTCCTCATCATCGTCTCATCCGTCCTATGTACACTCATTCCGTTTAATAAAGCCGTAATTATTCGTCTTTTTACCCTGACTGCRTCGTGAAGCTGTTTCCCGGTTCCTTTAACGATGTAAAAAAGTGTAGCACTGCAAAAATTTTCGCTAAGYATTTTAGAAAAAATAAAAGTAAAGAAAGYGAAAATACCTGCCCGATATTTGGACATGTCTTTCGGTCAAATGTCGATTCATTGCGTCCAAAACAATGTTTAAAGCTTGACCTACGTAGGCACAACTCTCGAAACGTAACAGATGAAAAAGCTCATTGAGGACTTTCTGAAGCATGTCGGTGCGGTCAAGGAAAGCCAACGCTGCGACTAAGATTTGCTCTTCGTTCGCGTTTCCTGCAATCTGAAAAGATTTCGCAAAAAATAGACATTTTTTCCACGTCAAAACTCAGGATCTCCCATTTTTGTAAAAATGAGAAAAATCAAGCAAATAAAAATCATAGCAAAAAGTAAACGTCAAATTAGTTGTTTAGATACAAAATTAAGCAATTACGCACATTAAACATCGCAAAAAATTGCTAGACCTACGCAAAATTTCAGGACGGATGTTTTGAAAATAGCTTCTGAAAATTTGTTTAGCAAACTTTCCATAAGCAAAATATAATAATCTTTTTAAAACTGAAAATATTTTGTTTTGGCAAAAATGCTCGAACAGGTTAATTTCCTTTTTAAAAACCACTCTTGATTTAAAATTTTACACTGTTTGGGTTTTGAGTAATGACGTCATCCATTTTTTTTAATGAAAAACCCTAATTTTTTAGCCATTTCGATAGATCTTTTAATTGTCGAAATGATAACTCCGAAATATTAAATATTATATAAAGTTTTCGAAAAAAAATCATGCAAAAAGTTAAATAATATCAAAAAAATATACAATTTTAAATCAAGTTGAGAATTTTGTATTTTTTAAAAAGAAAATTGACCTGACCTGTTCGAGCATTTTTGTTAAAACAAAATATTTTCAGTTTTTATAAATAAGACTAGTTCATAATTTTGCCGCTCACTGTTTTTTTTTCCTTATTCAATAACAACAACAAAAAATTACATAAMAAAGTTTCGAAAAAAATGATTCAAAAAGTTTTAATATCAACAAATCAAAAAGTGTAAAATTTTAAATCAAGTTAAGAATTGTGCATTTAAAAAAAATTGACCAGTTCCAGTATTTTTGCTAAAACAGAATATTTTCAGTTTTAAAAAGATTATTCTATAATTTTGGCGCTCACTGTATGTCAACTTTTTAACACATAATTTTGCTTTTTCCAAAGACTTTATTCTCATCACAAAATAAGAAATATTTATTTTGTACTCAATGTTAAAGAGTGCTTTTATTAACTAATTTCAGTAGATAAAGTAGTTTTTTATCGTCTAGTGAAATAAAGTAATTTTACTTTATTTATCTACTGTTTATATTTTATCAACTAATTTCAGTGGATAAATAATAATAATAATAAATACATAATAATCAAAATACAGCAAACATTTTAGGTGAAATAAATTCTAAACATTTAAACATACTTAAGCAATGTAGTCATTTCCTTTCTTAATATAAAATGGATAAGGCTAGGGATAAGCTGTGTAATGTGATCATTTCCATTATTGTAATTTTTATTTTTTCACACCTTTTAATAAAAATATTTTTTTATTTTTTAAAAATATTTTTTTAAACATTCTGAATAATTTTTTAGTCTTTCTCAATACAGTAGAACCCCGAATCGGCTTAATGTGAACTGAACCCTTTCCCAATAACCCAAAATTCCGGATAATCCAAAAATTTTAATGCAATCACAACTTTCGTATTAATATTTAAAGAAAGAAATCATAACTTTCGTATTAATATTTATTGAATTACAACGCTAATTTTCTAAAGCGTAAAGATTCTCCTTTGTCCATCCAATTGATAACTTCAAGCATTTTTTCTAAAAAAACAACCACTTTTCACGTTTATTCTTCAATTTATCCACATTTACTCTCGATTTCAATGACATGTCTTCAATGTAAACTGATAGACTACTCGTAATGCACGAAGAAAAAAATGGATTTTTGTCGCTTCTGAGAATCTCAACAAAAGAAAAGAGGCCAATTCGGAATAAAACCAAATTCTCCCAGATAAAACAATTTTTTATGGCTTTGGTTTCCGGATAACCAGGAGCCAGATAATCAAAGCTCTACTGTAGGTATTTCAAAAAATTTATAATATTTCCACTTTTTTTGTAAATTCTATAGGAATTTTTGAAGCTGCTATTTGTGATAAAAACTGAAAAATTCAGATCTGTTCCAATTTTCTCTTCTTCAAAAAAAGACTTTCAACGCTATTTTTTTCATCAAAAAATTGAAAGAAAATCATAAAATGACTTGGATTCAACTATTATCAAAATTTATTTTCATGCTTTTCCTTTTTTTACAACCTGAAATTCTGCAATTTCCCACATTCATGGCTAAATTCTATAGCAAATTTTAATAAATATCCTACCACGTGTGTAAAAATATATTTTATGCCATTATTTTCTTGTGAGCTCTGTTTTTTCTATTTTTTCCTGTTTTCTCTCTAACAATTTTACGCTTAAAATATACAAAAACCAGTCTTACCAATTTCGCAGGAATATCGTGCCTGAGACAGGCATCGTGTGATGTTTCATACAGYCCCAAATACTGAAACGGGTTATTCATCCTCGAACTCAACGCTGGGATGTCTGAAGCGACAGGCCCCAAAGACGCATCTGCCACCCCTCGCCCCGCCAAATTCGTCCCAGAAATATCAAGTGATGTCAGTTTTGGAAGATTATTAACAATCGTAGTAAGAATTTGCCCCCCGTTTTCATATCTGCCATTCTCCTCTCTGGACTGTGATATATCAAGGTGTCTCAACGACTTCAACTTGCAAATCGCAGGGACCATATTTTCCAGCCCCGAGACGTTGTACAACACCAACGAGGTCAAGTTGACGAGGTGCTCCGTGTACTCAAAACTGTCCAAATCGCTACATCCTGACAAATCCAAGTGGGTCAAAGACGCCAAATGCCTCAATAACAAAACGTAGAAATCGGGCTGAAGAGCGTGGAGTCGCTTCAGGGAGAGCTTTTTCAAGCTGGGGGCGAGAAAAATAAAGCCTCGGTCGTAATGTTCCTCCGTGAATTTCAGTTTCCCGAAAATGTTTGTGGGGAAAATTTCMGCTTCTTCGCCAATTGTAAGCGAAGTGAGAAACGTTCCATATTCAGTCAAGTGTTTGATGCACCCTGAAGTCAAGTTGGGGACGTAAGAAACGTCCAGTTCTGACAACCGGTGTCTCAGTAAAATCTCCAAGTCCCTATCTGTGATATCAATGTCACGTAACCGCACTCGTTTGAGCCTTGTGCTTTGTCTATCTCTAAATATGTGGATGAAATTCGAGTTGACTCGCGAGAGGCTATTCGAGCGCACRTTGAGGAACTTCTCGCAGATCTCAACGGGCAGGTGGACCCCCTCTTTGAGCCTCAAACCGCCTGTGATCTCGCACGAGACGCATATCGTGTCTAGGTTATTGTTGATGTAGTTGAAACAGATGTCAAGGAGGCTCTCGGGTGATGACGAGTTGCAAAATGAACAGGTTTCTAAAGGTAAAGCACTCGAATGCCGACATTTGGATTGAAGCATCTGAAAGTATTCGACGAAAAGTTACCAAAAATTCGCAASTGAACTCGTTTTACTTTTTCGGGATTAAGCTAGTCAATTCCTTGGAGAAACATGACATTTGAGCATGGGGGTGCACACACGAATCCAACGTGAACGAAGRCCGTTGACGCGTTTAATTTTTCACAACACTTTTCCAGATGTTTTCCGAACTATTTTTGTTATTGAGTAATTTTTGACATTTTGACATATTTTCAACCATGACATAAAATGTAGTAAACAGCTAAATCCAACAATTGCGAATTCAAATAACTAATAAAGAAAATAACTCTCTAAATTAACAAATTTGGTAATAATTAATTTTTTTTTAATTGTAGAATATGTGTTTAAATATTCATTCTTTTTTCGATATTTTCACAAAAAGGTAAAACAAAAAAAATTTGTTTGTTATGCAACTAACAATACACCCATATTTCTCCTAAAAATTTTGGAAAAATCAAACACTTAAATTAAGAAATGATTAGTAATTTATGCAACAAGTAACGTTATAAACTTAAATTATAAAGTTTTCAACTTACGAAAAAAAAGTGATAGAGAAAAACGAGTGATATAAAAAGCAAATAACCTTTTGCTTATCTAACACGGTTTATTTTATTACAGTGAATATAATGAACCAATAAAAGATAAAAAAAATATATAATTGTTATGTTGATAAACAACAAATAGTGATGGTAAAATTGTCAAGTAAAATGACAATATTGGAGATTCTTTTGAGAAGAAATAAGCTACAAAATTATGATTTAAAAAACAAAATTTGAATATACCCTTCGTACAAATTTAAAATAAAGGGCTTACTATTTCATGCAATAAAATAAATTAAAAATGCAAAAAGTCGATTGTGTTAAAACGAATTCTTAGAAATTTTAAAATATTGACAAATTAAATTAAATTTTTTCATTGACTATTTGTAACTACTCAAAAATTTTGCATATTACAAAATAACGCTAAATAATATTCCTAAATTAAAATAGTTTATCAATGTTTTATGTTACGAAAAGTAGAAAACTATACCAAAAAGTTTGACAAAATTGCTGACTGTTTATAATAAAATTTAGATTTTTATATCAAAATTAAAAGCAACTTTCTAGATTTGGGCATGGCTTTTTTTGTAAAATTTTTNTTAAAATTAAAAAATGAGTTTGGCAATAATTTTGAAACACACCAATTTACTGAAATACAGTAATTACGAAGTCCGGAACGGAAGAAACACACAAAATTTCAACAATTTGATGTCTTTATTAGAAATTGAACTGTTGTTATCTCCGTACACGTAGATATTAAAACACAAGTAAACATTAAGCTGTGTTTTTGTAGTAATTTTAWAAAAATATTGACATAACCTCACCGGGTCAAATGTCAAACTTCTGTCACCCTCAACCAAAATATGGCATACAAAGCAAGGTAAAATGAATTAATTAAACCAATTAGCACCCAATATTTACACTCTTGTAGACTCAAAGAATTCGATGACGTTCTGGACCAGGAAATTATAGACTTGAAAAAATTAAAAAGCTTGTCATTTCACGGTAAGGRGGCGTCAAGTTTCAACAYCCCTAATCATTTTTAATCAATGAAATTGAAGGTATCCCTGACGATCAAGGCCGGAGGGCACTTTGTTGGAGACTGCTGTTAAACTACCTCCCCACTGATAAGTCACAATGGCCCTCATTTTTGCAAGAAAAACGCCAATTATACAAGCAGTTCATAGGTTTGAAATTTTCACTTTTGGACCATTTTACATGTGTTTTTTAGATGAGATGGTGGTAATGCCRGGGACACAAGAAGGCAATGGGGACGTGACAGAAGGGGACCACCCTTTGAGCATCAATCCGGACAGCCAATGGCAGACTTTTTTTAAAGATAATGAAGTTCTCTTACAGATTGATAAAGATGTGAGGAGGCTGTGCCCCGATATTTCCTTCTTCCAGCAACCAACGGAGTTTCCYTGTCTGGAAATCGTCAACAGTAATGACGTCAAAAGACTCCACACTAGAGTACAAAGGAGTGTCTTAAAGTGCGCCAATGTTGAAAGAAAAGGATTAGGAATCACTAAGGTACAAAAAAATGTGAGACAGACTAATAAAAAATAATTTAATTGTCCCACATGCTGCTTATCTTAGTAGCAGGTAACGTGACTTTATTACATAATCTCTTTTTTGTTAATATTTCGCCACAAACAAGTAAACTTTTGACCTGATTGATTTTTTTTCAATAGATAGCACTATCGATCAAGAAAGCCAATGAAGACTACGCCCCCATGACCGAAGGCAAGGAAGCACACTGGGAGGTTGTGGAGCGGATTCTCTTCCTCTACGCCAAACTCAACCCGGGTCAAAGCTACGTCCAAGGCATGAACGAGATAATTGGACCTATCTACCACGCGTTTGCYTCCGACCCTGACATCACTTTCAGAGGTGATTCCCCTGTGTTTCACTCACCCAATCGTCAATTTTTCCTCCTTAGAGCACGCAGAATGCGACAGTTTCTTCTGCTTCACGAATCTAATGTCGGAAATCCGGGATTTTTTCATAAAAAGCCTCGACGAGACCGACCAYGGAATTAACAAAATGATGAGTCGGATGTTGGTACAACTGAAAAACAGCGATCTCGAYGTGTGGCTCAAGTTTCAACAGCTGGAACTCAAGCCGCATTTCTATAGCTTTAGGTTGGTGGGGCCCCCATTTCAAGCACGAGCACAAACCTTCAAATTAATAAATATTCGAAATTTTCTATTAGTCTATTAGTGTTTTATAAGGTTGAAATTTAGACGATATTGTCATACCTGAATTCGCTTGTAGCCTCCTTGAACTTGAAATTTGACCTAACATAAGGTGGTTTTTGTAGTCTATAATTTCTGCCGTTCATTCTGAATTAAATAAAAGTTATAAATACTCAAAGACAAGGGGCTCAAAGTCCCCAACAGTGCAAAAAATGACAAAACTTAAAAATTTTGACATTTGTCAAAATTGACACATTAAATTTTCAAAGCACTCTGAGATTTCAATTTGAATGACTACGTTTACACAGCATTTTTTAACTTGGATAAACAACTAACTCTTGTGAATTTGCTATTATTATTATTATTACCATTTACTCACTTGTAGTTATTATGACACACTTCAACRATTATAATTGTCATACTTCAAAGTGAAAATTTATTTTTTTAAAAATCTGTAAAAACCGCTGTGTAAACGTAGTCATTGACGTCTTTTTGACWTTTCAAATTTTTTAACTAGTTTTTATCGTTTTTCGTGGCATTGAGGCCTTCGAATTCGCCTGTGTTCAAGAACAAGGGGGCTAAAGTGCCCTAAACTACATTTTTGCAAGATTTCAAAAAGGTTTGTGCCGGTAGATGGCTCTGGAACGAACTGGGGCCTGATTGGCTCATTTGATTTCGTTTTAGGTGGATTACCCTTTTGCTATCGCAGGAATTCCCCCTCCCTGACGTGCTCAGGATATGGGATACTCTGTTCTCAGATGAGTCACGCTTCGATTTTTTGATTTATGTTTGTTGCGCCATGATTGTGTAAGTTGTTTWTCCAGAAAAAGTTTATTAATGAAAAAAATTTCAGTATTTTAAGGAACAAGTTGTTGAATGGCGACTTTCCGTCCAATCTCAAATTATTACAAAACTTCCCACCCATGGATGTACAGATTATTTTATCAAAGGCTGTCGAATTATCAAAACAAAAGATTTAAGAACAATTCAGTTGCCATTTAATTTTATMTCAAGCTCAAATAATTATAATAATAATTCTCCAATCCTCGATTACGTAAGACGTTACTTGGGGATTTTGTTCCTATTGAGTAAAACTCCAACATCACGTGATCAGTTTTAATTATTATCCAAGCATTTACCAATTATATTATATTCAATATTARATGTTTTTAGTTTAGGAAGTATCATGACAGGTACTGAAAATTGCCCAAAGCACCTTGAGCCGTTCTTAACGGCACACGGCACACCAAACTTCCATACAAGTCAATTTTATACTTTTCATAAACAGTTAAATTATTTTATTAATAAAAATGCAAAAGATWCTACTTGTCTTTGACTTGAACTTCCTTTGCGAAAGTTTGGGCCACCAAAAGTGGGAAAATCAGGGTGGCTTCTGCGTAGATTTTGACAGGAGTCGCTTCTTTTTTTATTTTACCCCAGGATTTGGCCTCGTCGGGGCGCGCCCCCGAGTCACTACCATCGAACTCTGATGCGGTGTTCAAGAASACGCAAAAATTGGCCCCATTTCGCTGAAATTCRMAATTAAAATTCAACTAAAAAATGATAWTTAARTTACCATTAAATTGGCATTGCAGATGTGGTGCTTCACCACCCCGCCCCCGATTATGACAATTCCGGTGTTGATTGCCTTCATTGCCATTAAGTTTAGTTGTCTCAAGTCTGAGATAATGTCTAAAATGAGGCCTGGATTTCGGAATGAGTGCATAAACATCATATCGCCAATGCTTCCATCGGTCAAAGCTGGGCAAAAAACAGGGATTTTGTTTTTTGCAGCCCAATAATAAATACTATCCTCGTTATTTATCCTTTCACCTAACCGATTTATGACTTTACTGGGGCTCCACAAGGCCCCTTCTTTCTGTTCTGTTAACATTTCATCCAAAAGTGGCATAATCCAGTTCTCGAATTGGCAATAATTGTCATTTGGCACCAGCAAATTCCCGATCCTGTTAATCCCATTACTCCGCAATTTGACACCATCTAAACCAAAATCGCCCAAAAACGTGGGGGCCATACACTTRATAAAATCCTCCTCAACACCACCAGCGGTTGTGACTATGCAATCTATCTAGAAAAAAAAAACTAGTAAAACTCAATACTACACATTTCTATTACCATTTTGTGTTGCACAAGGAATCTAATTGTCTCGCGTAACCCACTAGAGACAATATTTGACGTGTACCCCAAAAAAATCGTACAGTTGCTCTTGACACCAATAAAGGGGTCTTCATTATCGACGTACCTGTCTTCAGGAATCGGTGCTTTGCGACATTCAAGCATTTTATTGATTTCTTCAACGGCAAGCCCRAAATTCGTGGCTTGAAAACCGGTGTGGAGGTAACTCTTGAGAAGTTTGTCATAATTCAAGCCTTGAGTCCAGTCATAACCCGACACTTTCTCTTTAAGTAATGAYGAGTCTTGGGTTTTTTGCAAAACCGCCTCTGTTACACTTTCTATGGGGGCTGCCATCTCACATCTAACCTCACAATTCAAGCTTGACGCAAAACTACCAACCAGTGAAGCTAAAGTCACTAGAGCRCAACTGCGAATTTTGACCAAACAACAGCTTTTGTRTAAACCTGACAACATTTTGTGCTCCGACAAGAATTAAAGACTATTCCAGATTGCATTGGGTAATCAATTGTGTGAAATTATTGCATTTGGTGAAAAGTTTGACATTGGTAGCACTGTTTAAAAGTCATTTGGCGGGAGAAAAGTGTGCAGTGATTGTTTACGTTAAATTCATAAAATGTAATCTCGAGTTTTCTGTGTTTAAAGTTGTTTTAATCATGTCGACATCCMAAAGCGACATTCCATCTAGCGAAATGATCGAGAATTTGATGAAAGACCCGGTCAAAAAAGCCCTCCTTCTTCAGTTTATAACCCAAGAAAAAAGTGGTTTTGAGTCGTACAAACGCCGTCTGGAGCAACAAAATAAAAAGACACCTCTCAAAAAAGTTCAACGGAGGGTTAACTGTGAGAGCCCCACAGCCCTGATGCGCAGACGGATGCTGGAGCAGCGCGATCAAGGCTCAACCTCTGATTCGTCAGATTTAAGCGAGACGACTGAAATTAAAGGYCCCAAATTGCCGTTTGACGAGCTGTTAAAGGGCGTGAGGGCGTTYGTGGACGTTAAACGGGACGGAGTCGACAAGTCTGAAGGGATCAAAGCTGTGATGAAGTTGATGGGGGCTACGATTAGAGACGAGTTCACGGGGGACGTGACCCATGTTATTTTTAAGGTGAGGTAGGGCTATTGTGGATGGTTTTAACCTTAAGGTTACAGGATGGTTCTTTTACAACTTTTGAAAAAGCAAGACTCATCAAAGCCCATTTAGTTTCCGTTTTGTGGCTCGACGCCGTGCGGAGGAACAGTGTGAGAGTCCCCGAAAAAAACTATCCAGCGTTTGGGAGTAGAGTAAACGGGGCTAATATGTCAATCATGTGTTCGGTAAGACATCCTCATTAAAAACCCGSAATGAAATCGAGTTTCAGCAACTGCAAAAAGACTACGAAGAGATCATCAGAGACGAGAAACGGCGTACTTTGTCTTCGTTACCGCAACGAGAATCCTCCATTGAACCCAAACGACGTTGCACGATGATCCCCCAAACTCAAACCTCGATGAGTAGTTATGCAACCGCTCRAAATCRACAACTCTCAGAGAGTGATAACGAAGTCGCTTCGATTCTGGAACCATCGAAATCGCCCGAATTGACTTCAGACGATTCCGATTGTGGGGTAATCGATGGTTGTATCAGCAAACGACCAAAGGACCAAACCGATGTTTTGCAAAGCACTTCGTTTCTGTCGGAATCGACCGATTCAGTTTCGTTACTCAGCAGAATCACCACACGAAAACAAAGAAGCAATGTCTCCTCGGATATGGACATAACTCCAAACACTGATGAGGAACCAAAACGGACCTCTTCTAGGAAACCAAGAAAGACTAGTTTTACTCCAAGACAAGATGCGAGTTCCACTGATGAAGAACCAAAACGGACCTCTTCTTCGAAGAGGGCGAGTCTTCAATCGAGCACCATGTCCTCTTCAGGGACGAAAAGCGGTCTCGGGGACTCGAAAAGGACATCTTCAGGGACTGATAAGACAAAGAGTGGTCTTGGCGATTCGACCAAGGAAAACACCAAAGGTACTACAATGTCATCTTTAAGACTCAGCGACAGCCAATCTAAAGAAAGTGTCGAAAATAGAAGAGTTTTAAGGAATTTAGAAGAAATGAGTAATGCCAATAAGAACAAGTCAGGACCAAGTTCTAGTTCTAGTTACAAGGGTACTACAATGTCATCTTTAAGACTCAGCGACAGCCAATCTAAAGAAAGTGTCGAAAATGGAAGAGTTTTAAGGAGTTTAGAAGAAAGGAGTAATGCCAATAAGAACATTTCAGAACCAAGTTCTAGTTCTAGAGTAAAAAAGAAATTCATAGTTGAATCATCTGACTCCGAATTTGAGAAAAAACGTGGTAACCCCCGAAAGGATAGTTCACTAGATTCGGGAGCAGAGTCGGATGTAGAAAGTTTCCGAAGCAGTCGTCGGTCCGTATCAGTGGTTTTATTTAAAGAACCGGAAATTACACCTGTCAGAACTCGAACTAGTTCCGTTTGTAGCGAAACTCGAAGCACTGGAGGAAGAACCAGACGAAGTCGTTCAGTATCTGTGACTAAATCATCCACTCCGGTGAAAAAAACGCGCAAGTTGTACGATCCTGAAAATCCCAATATTTCAGCGTATTTATCACCACAAGATGACAAAGAACGAGAGGATTACATACGAGAGAAGTCGCAGAAAACGCAGGATTTGTTTGTTAATCCCAACAATCTCTCAATTCGGATTCCTCCTAAACCGGTGCGAAATGTTCACACACCACGGAAGCAGCAAAGGAAGAAGAGTGAGACTCCTCCAGATGATGAGCAGAGGGCGCTGTTGGACTTGTTGAATGCTAGTGAACGCAGGCGGTCACAACGTTTGAGTGTGTGTCCAAACCGGCCAAAATATTTCAATTCTGATAGTGACTCGACTAGTAGTCTTAGTAGTCTTCCTATTACTCCGATCAAGAGACGGAGTACTTTGGATTTTGTGCCGATTTCGCAAAGTCAGAAACGCCAATTGAAGTTAGATCCGAAGAGAAAGTCCAGTATTGTTTGTACTAAATTCCACTCGAATGAAGTGGTCGAATTTGAAAGTATTGTCAATAGTTTGGGGCGCTTTTTTGTTGAAGACGTCGTGACTAGTAGGACTACTCATCTGGTAGTGGGTGAGGCTAAAAGGACGATTAATATGTTGAGGGCTATAGCGAGGGGTTGTTGGATTTTGAATCGTGATTGGGTAAGTGAAAAAATACGGTTTTGTCATGAAATGACTCGTTTTGTAGTTGCTGAAATCGCACCAGCAGGGGAAGTGGTTGAATGAGGAGGATTACGAATTGACTGAATATTCACCTTCTGTACAGGAGTGTCGGTTGCAAAGAGAAGCTTTTGGTCCTTCGTATTCTATGGATATTTTCAAGGATTGTGGTTTTATTTACTTGGGAAAATCAACAAAACCTAAAACTTCAGAATTGAAAGAGTTGATCACTATATGTAAAGGGAAAATTACAACGATTCTCAGGAACGCGAGTATTGTAGTTGGAGAGTATATTGAAGGGGACCATTTGACTTGTGTAACGGAAGTGTGGGTCTTGGATTCGATCCATTTGAATAAGTTGAAGTCGGTTAAAAATTATTTGTTTAAATCACCCGACGGAAACAGTCCGATTTTTTGATTTTTTAATTTTTTAATATTATTTACATAAAAATTTATTTAGCCAATTTGTGTTGTTTATTTCTTTTGTTTCTACATTATTTTTGCATTTTGACTATAAAACTACTAGTAAGGCCTTTTTAGAACACATAATTTTTTTATGGAAAATTTTAAGGAAGCTGCCTTGCTTGCTTTCCCCGTTCTTCAAAGTACCTTTAAAAATTTAAAAATTTTAAGGAAGCTGTCTTGTTTTCCCCGTTTATCAAAGTACTTTTAAAAATGTTAAAATTTTATGGAATCAACCCCGTTTTTCAAAGCACCTTTAAAAATGTTAAAATTTTAAGTAAGCTGCCTTGTTTTCCCCGTTTTTCAAAGTACCTTTAAAAATGTTAAAATGTTATGGAATCAACCCCGTTTTTCAAAGTACTTTTAAAAATGTTAAAATTTTAAGGAAGCTGCCTTGTTTTTCTATTGGACCACTTCGAATACGATTTCAGGCAAACAAATTCACCCTTTGAAACACTTAAAATACACTTTTTTGCCCTGTTTTTAGTTGGGCTACTTCCAACACAACACTATTTACGAATTTTACCCGCTTTTTTAAGGTAGGTACATACACTTATTCAAAGTGCAAATTTCTCAAGGTTTTAAAAAGTAAATGGTTTTTAAAATTAGTTAAAATAAAAACCAGTTAAAAGTATATAGAAAATTTTATTTGCTATCATTGCAAATAGGTCAATTGAAGAAATATACAAAATTGTAAAAACAGGTAAAATATTGATAAAATTAATAACATTCCGACAGCCGAAAGGTACTTATGTTGTCACATAGCCAAATAGAAATTTTTCTTCGTTATAAAATTTTATCGATTTGTATTTTATGTTGCTTTTAAATGCTGTTATATTTTCTGCAATAATGTGGTGTATAAGCTCTTCCCTTCCAAAGAGATTTCCCTCATTTTCTTTAATTAGGCGATCCTCTGGGTCCTGGTTTGGATAATGAATATAAATATATAACAATAACAAATTTCTCACAAAGGTCTTCTGTAGAAGTTGTAATTATAGATTTTATTTTTATTTTATTGGATTTCCTAGTTTCCAATTAAAGCATTCTGGGAACGTTTTTGAGTTAGGAGTACTTAGCAATAAAAAAATTCAAACAGTTTTTAATTCGTACACAGGCCTTACTTTTATATTTTATGATAATTTTTATTATATTGAATTGAATGAATGCACTATGAAATCAAAACAACATGGATTTATTAATGAACTATTTCCTGGTGTTTCAGCTGATGTAAATACTGTCTTTCGCTATAGAAATGGCATATTATATTTTTTTAAAAAGAAAGATAAAGCGATTTTATTTGAATTTGATCAATTTTCATATATGTTAATAAAAGCTGCTTTATTTGATTTTAGTACTTTCAATATTCATTGTCCCAATCTAGGTATTTTGGAACAACTGAAAACTTTATAAAATAAACTGGCTTTTTATAGTTTTGAAACTGATTAAAATTACATTATTTGGAAAAAATACTCTTCAAGATAACTTTCAAAACAATATTGTTTTTATCAACTCTATCGTAAAAATATAATATCTTAAACGGACATTGGAAAATTATCATTGATTCCTCCGTTTCTGATATTTTACTTTATAAAGGACTTTATCATGAAATTCTCTTATAAATTCTTCTGTTAATTTTTGGTGTTCTGATATTAAATACCAGTTAACTTTATTTTGAAATTCTCTTATAAAATTTTCTGATAATTTATGATTCATTGATATCCAATTCCAATCAACTTTATCTTGAAATTCTCTTCTGATAATTTTTGACATTCTGATATAGACTCCCAATTAACATCATGTAGAAATTCTCTTACAAAATTTTCAGATAATTCCTGGCATTCTAAGATAAGATCCCAATCAAGATTATTTCGGAATTCTTTGATAAATTTTTCTGATAAATTTTGATATCCTGATACACATTTCCATCATGAAAGTCTCTAATCCAGCCTTCTGAAAATTCTTCATTCATTGATACATCATACCAATCGATATTTTGCTTTCGAATTTCCGTATCTGTTATCTTTTGAGGTTATCATTTTTGATTATGTGTGTGATGAATGAATTCCCGATTCAAATAGACTAAATTATCCCGAACCATTAACAAATATGTCGTCTTAATTTGTAAATAAAAGAGGAATTGTATACAAGCAATTTATTCTTACACAATACATTCAAACTTACATAGTACATTACTCCTGCATCCTTGTGGAAGTTAACAGATGATAATCCTAACATCCTGAAACCTACAAATTTCCTTACAGCCTTCTCGAGTTACGTATTAAGAGACACGTCGCGATACACGAAACAAATAAAAATCGCTCATGTTCGTTTATTAATAGTGCGTATGAAATGTGTATGTTTCTTTCTGTTAATAACTTAATAACAATCTTTAAAAGAGAGTGGTAGTTATATGTATAATAATAATTTTCATCAACATTATGTGCACGAACGGAAAAAAATAAAATAAATTAAAAAATAATGAATCAAATGAACAACATGGACCGGTTCGAGTGTCTTCGATCGTTAGGTGTGCTCAGACAGACGATCCGGCGATCGCTTCGGCAGTTACATCTGCTCACTGGTTCTGGTCTCCTGCACCAGGTAAACCTGGGAGCCAGGCACGGAGCTGGTGGTCACAAAAGTGCGGTGTTTGGCCCTAATAAGCGACAAACTGCTCTCTGCGGTGTCGGCGCGGTCTTCGGCGGCTTCCAACTCCCGCTGGAAGCGGCGCACGCGGGTCACGCTCTGCTGCGAAACGCCCTCCTGGAAGCATCACCAACATTAATAATAATAGGCCTTTATTAAAAAAACAGATAAAATACAAACTCTGTGGGCGAAGTCTAGCCGAACGCTACTCAACTCAACCCCAAAAAAAATAAAAAATAGATATACAGTACAACTTCGACAATTCGGACACACTCTAGATCGGACACTCCAATAGTCCGGAGGCTTTCATGTTTAGGAGACTTTAGATWTTTTACCTCTACAGTTCGAACAAAATTTGCAGTATTTGTTTTCTAGGCATTTACTACTTCTTTTATTTTGTTATTCGAAGAATCTCTTGTTACAATCGTCTTATGTTTCCAAGAATTCTCTCGGACAGTTTTCTTGAAATTTAAATGCAGCTACCCAAAAAAAATTGATGATTTTTTTAAAAGAACTTAAAATACACATATACAGCTCAGCTTTAAAAAGTTAATACCATTTATGATACCATGTTCACCAAAGTGAATCAGGAGATATAGTTCCATCGCATAGCCCCCASAATCGYCAGAYTTGGCACCTAACGATTTTTTTCTTTGGGGGTATTTAAAAATAAAAATTTATATTATAATTCCAATGCAAAATTTAAAGAGCTGAAAAAACGTATTCGCACAGAATGTAATAATATAGATCCTGAATTTATCAGGAATGCAGTGGCGGGGTTTTCAAAATCGCTTGGGTTATGTTTGGAACTGCAAGGAAAGCATTTTGAACACTTTCTTTAATTATTAAATTTTTTTGTTTAGATGGATTTTAATTATTTAAATTAATATTTAATTGTTGTTTTTAAAAGTTTATCTTTTATTTATCGATATTAAAGCCTTTGTAATATTGGTTTGTCTATGGCTAGATTAACGACTAATCGTAATTGTCATAGTAATATTGAAGTTGACCCGGTTTTTTTAAAAGTATACATAGGGCTATGTATACTAATAAAAAAATGTCCATGTATATGCACCTACATCATGTTATTTTCTGAATAAATTTGTTTCCTAATAAAAATATTCGATTTTTCGTTATAAATTAGCCTAAAAAAAATACTTCGCTAATCCGGAAAACTCTTCAATCCGGACGGCCGGTGGCCGATATCTGTCCGGACTATAGAAGTTGTACTGTATATAATAATAATAATAAAAATGAAACAACAAAAAAAATATATCAAAATTGACTACTAAGCTCAACCCCAAAATAATTAAAAATATTATACGAGAAAAAAATATCATAATTAACATTAGGTAAACTAATTACTGTTAACCATGTGAAAACAAGAAATCGTTGTAGAGTGTACGAAATTTATACACCGAAACATTCAACTGAAAAAGAGCAGTAGAATTAAAAATTTTGACACCATTAAAAACTAAAGAACGTTGAAAGATAGACGTACTAAAGTGAGACATAGAAATTTTAGTATCATGAGACGAAGTTGTCATAAGTTTAAACATAAATGTACCCAATTGGTGTCGATACATATTTTCAACTTTTAACCAACGTAGTTCGAGTATTTTTGCCGAGACATGATCGTATTTTTTTAAGTCAAAGATGAACCTACAACAGCTATTTTGGATTTTTTGTAATTTGTATTTTGTGATATTGTCTAAACAGGGATAATATAAGATTAAGCAGTATTTTATAAATGATATAACTAAGCTTTCTGTCAATTTTTTATGTAATTTAAAATTCCGAATTAAATAGTTTGCGTATAATAATTTAAGGGAAGAATAAGATTTTTTTAGGACCATATTAACATGAGACTTAAAACGAAAATCATCATCTATTATGAGTCCTAAGTGTTTAATTGAGTCAGACACAAGATTTTTTTATTATTAATAACAATATTTAATTGATTTTTAATTATATCCCTAGTATTGTTGCTAGCGAAGCATATAATTGTACATTTATCGGAATTAAGTTGTAAGTTTATTTGCATAGATAATTTCGAAATTAAATCTAAGTCGGCATTAATTTCTAAACATTTCTGAAAAAGTTGATGTTGAGAGAAGTGTAAATAAAGATTAAAGTCGTCAGCATAAGCATGTTTCTTTGAATTTGTCCTCGTTTCTAACAAATTGGTCGTATATATAGAAAAAAGAAGAGGACCAAGAATTGACCCTTGGGGAACTCCTGATGCAATTGTTCCAAGATTAGAAGAGGAGTTCCTCTATCTATCATAACTTTCTGAGTCCGATTAAATAGGTAAGATTTAAAGAAATTCAAGGAGATATAATCAAAACCAGTGTGAGAGTTTGTGAAAAACACCACAATCGCTACAAACCTGTTCCTGGAGTTGTCGCTTGAAGAGAGCGACTTTGCCGTTGGCCTTCTCCAAAGACTCGGTCAACAATGCGATGTTCTTCTGGTCTTCCTCGCACTGAATCATCACTTCCTTGACGGTGCGTTCCTTCTTACGCAAGATCTTGATGGTCTCAGCATGGCGGCGCTTCTCCTCGTCGAGTTCGGACTCGATGTCGCGGATTCGGGCCTCGAGCTTGCTGATGATGCGCTTACCGCCGACAATGGCGTTGGCCTCGACTTCTTCAAGACGGACGGACAGGTTCTTCACTTCGATCTCGAGGGATTTCTTGATGGCTTCGATCTTCACCACGCGCTCTTGTTCTTCGTGGAGGATCTCCACGGTGTGCTTCAACTCGGTCTGGAAACGCGAAGAATTTAAAGATTTTAGTTTTTTTTTCTACTACTGTGGTGTTACCTGGACGCGTTGGTAGCGTTCATCCGAAATGCGCAACTCTTTGGTAATCTCATCATAATCGGCAACAATAGTCGACAACTCTTGCTCAATCTTGCTCTTAGCGGAAGCCAAGTTAACATTAATGGTAGTAAGTTCGTTGATCCTAGTTCCAGCTTCCTCATACGCTTGTTCGACAGCCCTCTTTCCACGAAGCGCCGACTCGTAGTTGCCTCTAATCTCCTCGGCTTCAGCAGTCAGCGCTTGAATCTTCCTCTGGGATACACTAAGTTGGTCTAGGGTAACCTGTAATTGCCTTTGGACTTCATCATAATGCGCCGTGAGTTCAGTAAGTTGCAACGACTGCTTCTTGATAGTCTTCTGCAAGTCGATGTTGGTCTTGTTGGCGGAATCCAAGGACATTTCCAATTCGGTGATCTGGATTTGGAGCTTCTTCTTGATGCGTTGGACTTCGGTCTTGAGCCTGGTCTCGGCCTCGACGACGCGGGCGTTAAGTTGCTCGATTTCAATGCTGGTGGCCTTGCTGCGAACAAAACAAAATTTGCAACAGGTGATAATACGTCATTGGCGCCGCTCCCGTCTATTTTTAGCACTTGTTACGTAAAAGCACCTGCTGTCAAAGAAGTATTCAGCTGTTCGTCTGTCAAAACCTTTGAGTTCTCGACTGAGAGCGTCCAAAGAATCGACACAATTCTCCTCCAATTGGGTCAAGAGTCGCTTATCCATGACTTTCAAGTGTTTGGTGAATTGTTTCGTATCGACGAATCGTCGATTTTCGATGTCTCGAGTGGTGTTCAAATCGAACTCAACTCCTTGAGCGATGTTTTTGTGGCTTTCCGATTGGAGGAAAGCTTCGATGCCTTTGGCTGATCGTCCTCTGAGGTACTTTTGGGAGGATTTGAGTGCGAGTTCGATATCCCGGTCCTCCTTTCGATGGTCGTACCCCAAATCGTCTGCCATTTTCGACTTGAGTGTCTTGATTTGTCTCACAATCTCCTTCTTCTTCCGGTTTTTCACGTTGACTTTTTCCGTGATGGTGGCGGCAGAAACACACTTGCTCAACATGAACGAGCTTTTGGTCGTGGCTTTGAAATCACGAAGTTTTTCTTTGGCACTGGCTTCGGTTTGTCGGGCAATTCGATCAAGAGCTTCGTGTGAATAACTCTTGATTGTCTTGGGATCGTATTGGCTCAAGCCAAGTTCGTCGGTCCATGGGAGGTGGGGATACTTTGTTCTTCCACCTCTCTCTTTCTGGTCAATGTAGTCGACCATTGGCTGGTAATAATTAATTCCAACACCGTAATTGTAGTCGTAGAAGCCTGTCAAGGGGTGCCATTTGGAAGGACCGGGAGTTGACATTGTCGATCGAAATTAATACACACTGCTATTTAGGTCGATTGAAAACGCTCTTTTATACCATGTTTGAAACAGACAAGTGCCAAACCAATAAACTAGCACAACGTCAATTTCGGGTATTTATAGGACGGGAGCGTGCCAGAAATGCAATTTGTTCAGGAGATAAGACCGCGAAGGTTGCTAATTACGAGGAAGTCAAGTTGAAATTTTTTTTGATACACAGTAATAATAAAAAATATGTTTAGCTTATTTTTGTTGCTCAAATATGTAGAAAGATACCTATTTTGATTCATATTTCTGACTATACTAAAGTTTTGAAATATTTTAAAACAACTGCAAAATTATTTTAAGTTATTTATCTTAAAAATGTCTAATTTGTAGTTATTTTTGAAGTCTGTCTATATTTGCTTGAATTTTATGGTGCAATAGAGGCAATTAACATTTGGGCTTTTAGCGATAAAGAAGCTCCCATTAAATTTCTCATAAACTAATTCAATTCAAATATAGGCATACTTAAAAAATAAATTTTTCAACATTAGTGCATTTTGGCTTACCGGATGGCTTCAATCTCTTCATCCTTCTCTTGGAGCCGCTTTTCGGCTTCGTGGCGGAATTGGGCGAACTCCGAAGACAACCTCTGGGACCTAAGTTCTTCAGCTTTSCGTCCCTAAAACCACCCTCATTATCCCAAACTCTTTTCACCACAAACTCCACTTACAGCTTCGGCTTCCTTGTACGCAGCCGTGAGTTCCTCCCTCTCATTCTCCAACCTGCGGAGTTCCAACTCCAACTCATGCAAACGCCTTGTCAACTCGCTGATGGTATTCCTGGCATCACCAAGATCATCACCCAACTTCTTGTTTTCCCTCGCGAGTTGGTCCTTCTGCTCCCTCGTCTTGTCCAACTCGTGGACAGTCCTTTGCAACTCCTGTTGTTTGTTACGGAGGTCTCTCTGGGTCTGCTCGTACAAATTGACGGTTTCCTCCAACCTAGTCTTCAAATCGATGTTGATCCTCTCCAATTGCTCTACCCTCTTTTGCAACTCCCTGGCGGTGTTGTTGGCCTTCTCCAAGTCGATGATGAGGACTTCAACTTCGGATTGGAGTCGCGATTTCTGCTTCTCGAGGTTGTTAATCTTGACCAAGAGAGCTTCGATGTGTTCTTCCTGTTCGGTGATTCTCGCGGTGTACTTGCGACGGAGTTCTTCGACTTCTTCAGCGCGGGCGGCGCACTCGGCTTCATACTTGGATTTGTAGACTTGGACTTCGCCTTGCGATTTGACGAGTTGGCGTTCGAGGTCAAGGCGAGCTTCGCTTTCTTCTTCCAGTTGGACGCGGACTGATTCGAGCTCGACTTCGGTTTGGTGGAGTTGGGCTTCCAGGAGGGAGCGGCGGCGTTCGTCGTCTTCGGCGCGGCGGCGGGCATCCTCGAGCTGGCTGGCGAGTTGACTCTTCAAGTAGTTGGCGTTCTCAAGGGTCACCTGAGAAAAAGTTTTTTTAAAGAACAGTTTCACAAGTTTTGAATTTTGAGCTTTTTCCAAGCACTAGTAATGACCCAAGATAATGGTAAAAAAATTAAAATATGTAAAAATTTTAAATGAAGAAAAACGGAAAGTTTGAAATTAAACCAAATGACATTTTTGCATTTCAAAGACTCCTAGGAATTCGGAAAAATGCATACAACAAGTTTGAAAAAATCAAATTTTTGAATGGTCGATGAAAGTTAGCGTTTGTGCGGTTCCGGGCGCCACCTTGTAATAATACTCCAATTTTTGGACTGCCCGGAAATTATCCAAATCGGAATTGACAATTTCCTATGTAAAATCGTCCCGAATATTTGCCTGCATAAACAGTTTGCGCCTAGGAAGGTTATTTTCAAATATTTTTTTTTATTTTTGAGTCAGAAAGATTAAAATCCCTCTCTATCCGAAACAATAGCTCTGATCATTTCGGGTATCTGGCATTCGATAAATAATAACTAAAAAAAGATTTTAATTTCTTGTGGCTTTTATAGTGTTTGAGAAAGTGGTGTTTAATTTTTTTTTTTGATATTGTTCAAACGGTTGTTGTCAATTTTTGTTAAAATTGTTGTCTAAAGACAAAATTAGATCTAATAAGTACTATATTGGGAGCTATGCATACATAAAACGTTCCGATAAATCGACTGACGCCGATACACTCAGAAAATTTAGGGTAGTTTAGAGAAATTTAAAAAATTTCAAAAATTTGCCTGTCATTATTTTTTTTTCTTTTGGTAGGTAACTGTACATCGTAGGGCCATGATCTTTTTTTGAAAGATGAGAAATTAAAAAAGCTTTCCAACGATACTAAACATAAAGGTCTAAGACCGATAGTTTGGAGTTATTGGCTAATCGCTCCAGGTACCAAAAACCGACAAAAAATTTTGAAAAAATCCAAAAATTCGAATTTTTTAAAGTCAGACCAAGTGACATTTATTCCACTCCTAATTGGTCATTGGGACTCGAAAAAATAATGTTAATCGGGTTTAAAAAAAACGATTTTAATTTTTTTTTTTGTCATTAGGATGTCTTTAAAGCTGGAACACCTTGTACCGGATATTTCATATACCTAACTAATTATTGATGGGGTATTTTTCAGAATTTTTCTAATTTTTTTTGATAATAAATGAGGCCGTAACAGTTTTGTGTGTTTTATGAATACTTTCTTTTTCTAATTTACCTATAAAGTTTTTACACTTAATGAATCTGTACCTGCTAGTCCATCAAACTTTGATATCACAATTACAAATTTTGGTTAGTTAAATACTCGTAGTCGCTTTTTTTTATTTAAACACAAACCCGACCCGTGATTTATGACTAAATGGTACAATTTGCCAACAAAAGAACTTTGAAGTCTCTTACTGTTGTAAATTTTAGAATCTTACCAAAAATTACCAAAAAATTATGAAATATACTTTATCAATGCCTAGGTAAGTGGGAAAAATTTCAACAATTTTATATGGTATTATAGCATAAATTACCATACAAAATGTCTCAAAAAAATCTGCAATCATTTAAATTTTACTCTAATATAAAATGAGTCTTGGTATATTTTAATAAAAAAAATGTTCGAGCAAATTTTGGCTTAAACTATTTGGGTCGATTTTTTTCCGAAAACTAGTATTGCTTACCTTGATATCTTGGACTTCCTTGGTGAGTTCAAGATTCTCCTGCGCCAACCTGGTCTTGTGCGAGGTGATATCAACAATCGTGCGGTTCAACTCTTCAATCCTCACATTCAATTCAGTAATGGTGATTTCTAATTTTTCGGCATGTTTAATCGAAACCAAACGTTCCTTATTCAAGCTCTCGACTTGGGCCAAGAGTTCGTAGACTTCGCTTTGGAATTTGCTTTTTTCCTTCTCGGCTCTAGACCAATAAACAAAACATTCTTTCACTATATTGACAAACATTCACTTAAACTACTAGACACGAAGAGTATTTATATCTGRGGACGCTCCAAATATTTCCGATTTTATTCTTAGTCGAGTAAGAGGTCGAAGCAGCATCAAGAATTCGGATCATTTTGGAATTTTTATTCATAATTCGCATGAGATGAGAGTAATTTCGGCGCGACAAATATGGCAACGATCGCGGACACTCTATTTATAACGGACGAAGTTGGACGGAGATGGGCGAATATTGCACTACTACAAGTCACAATTTCACTAACAATTCAAGAGMTRAATTTTTTTKATYTWCTAAAGKAGATTATAAATTTACAAATTTTCAAGACTAYAAAAATAGAAGCTATAAATKTTTTATTTTYAATTTTTTTCMYGTGCCAGACATATTTGCCATGCCTTCAGATTAGTCACTGTTTTTTACTTAAYCTTAATATACTTGTTGAATTTGAGRTRGAACAATTTTTAGTACTGAAAAAAARAGAAACGCATTTGTTTTTTAAATTTTCTGAGTCAAACCTTTCTACATGTTATAAGTTTTCTTTTACATAAGATTATCAACTGAATAATTTTATTAATGTTTGCTACCCAGGAAAATTAGACTAAAAAGTTTCAACTTATTTGAATTTTAGGGRCAAAAAATGGTGGATGCGCCGGGCTAGTCTACTTATTAAATACCAAATTTCTAAATATTTCTCTCAAATAAATTAATTTGATTCTATTTTCGATTGTTATGAGTACAACGACTAGAATTTCCGCCATAAAATTGCTAATTTCAGCTCAAAGGAAGCACTGCAAATCTTTAATTTTACCGTGTTTGTTTGACTTATTTGCAGCTACTGATGCTATGTTTTATCACTTTGGAAATAACTTTTATTGTTGCACGAGGTAGAATTTAAGATACTGACCTAAATTTCTTGTCTTTTATGTTCAAGTTTAATACCGGCTGTTATGAAGTGTGGAAAGTGTCTCAAATTTCCAACAACTCAATAAAATCACTTAAAAATAGGAATTAAGTCAGAATACACGATTATTTTTGAAGTTGTTTTTTTATACTGTGTGAAAAAGAATATCTTTTTTTATAAGCTTAACTACATTTGAAAACTAWTAAAGCTGTTTATAAAAAACTTTAATGCAATTGCTGTTTTTGTTCCTTTTTCGTTCAGTATTTTTTTATATTTCAAATTATTGAATGCTACATAAAAAAATATTTTTTAACGAAGAATAAAAATCTGCATAGGGCTAAAAAAATTGATTTAGGTTAATTTAAATTTAATTTCGTTTATTTTGTACATTTTGTTTGTTTTATTTCTCATCACTAGTAAAAGGTTTGTTGCTTTTGTTTGCTTATTTAATATTTCTTCTATTGTTTTGACTTTATTCTCTTATTATTTTACAGTTTTTCTAGCAATAAATTAGATGAAAGTATCAAAAAATAAACAGAGTGTTTTAATGTTAGAATCATACATTTTTTGTTTACTCTTGTCGGTTTTAATGTTTTGATGTAAAGTCTAACATACCGCTGGGAGAACTATACATATTTACATTGGGATTTTATGGTTAATTTGATATAAAGATATTTATAAACACTCTAAACACTCTGTATATGTATTTTTAAACTTAAATATTTGTGAAATTTATTGATAATCAAAAATTATTATAATAGATTCCATCCACTATTATCATTTATTTTGTTTCAAATTTTGAAATAACTGTTACGAAATTGCTTGGGAAAATATGTAAATTCTGAAAAAAGTGCGAAAAGTCTATTCTTTTCGGAGTGGTGCTTGGGCAACTTATCAAAAACTTATAAAAAAGAAGATAAAAGTTATAATATTTTAGTCAATTATATTTTTGTGYCAAAATAGAAGCACTTAACCTATCGAAAAGTTTGCCCTTTGTTGCTATTACACAACCGGCAATTAAATCCAAAGGCTTTGACACATTGTTGGTGTTATTGACCGCATCAAATTCCAAACAAAATCCAATTTTCTGGTACTTAACCACATTCTCGACTCTGGCACACATCCAAACAAAATTCTGACCTGGATTTGGCCTTGCTGAGCGAATCAATCTGTTCTTGAAAATCGACGACGATCTCTTGGTGTTTCCTTTTCAAAATCGCTGCGGTCTCTTCCGACTCCAGATGGACATCTTCGAGGAGTTTGCGCAATTTCAACAGTTCAGTGTCGCGTTTTTTGTTAATTTCGAACTGGAAAAATCACGAGATTAGTACTTGTTGGTACTTGGAGTGATGGTGGTACCTGACTTTCAGCGCCACCTTCGGCTTCTTCCAGACGTTCGGATAACTGGATTACTTGGACACTCAAATCGGCTTTCTCCCTTTCAATCTGCAAAAAATAGTACGACCTTGACGATTTCGTAACCCCATTGAAAGGATTTTTGCGAAAATAGAACCGAGAGTAGGCGGAGGAGCACGACGAGTTTTGGCTAGGCTTCAGTGGAATTTTGTCGAAATTTCGGATTTCTTCAGGTTTCAGGTGATGTAAGAGTTATTTTGGTTCGAAAATCCGACACCATGAAGCCTTGCCAAAACTCGAAATAGATGGGTTAGTTAAACCTGGCATAACCTAAATAAATCGTAGGTCTAAAAGCGTATTAAAAAGGTGACTCACCCTTTGTCTGAGTTCCCTCTCGATTTCCAAGTCTTCTTGGAGTAGTCGGATTTTGTCCTGTAAAAAAGTGATAATGGTGGTAATTTGTGATTTGGGTGGTGTGTGTGTGTTGTGGCCACTGACACTTCACAAGGTACCACTGCACTTGGGCACTTTTTACCTCTAATCTGGTAAGGGCGCTGAGGTCCGCGCTGTATTCGATGGAGACGTCGGCGCTACCGCCCCCGCTGGAGCGGTAGGTGTACTTGGAGGTCTTCGCAACACTGGAAGACATCTTCACGCTTTCCTATGCGAGGAAAAGCTCGTCGTTTGGATGATGCACTGACCGTCGAAATTTCAGTGTAAGAAACCCGCGTGCTGCGCCGCCTGACAGTGGTGGCTGAGTCGTTCGTATGAGCGTCGCAACGGCGAAAGCCGAAATAAACTGGGAGACGGCGGCGGCGCCTGCGTTTTAACGACGCGCAGCGTCTTGCGCACCGCTGACTCAAACCAGGACTGTATTTCTGGAAGGACGGCGAGCTATTTTTGTACATTGTTTATGCAGTTTTTATGCATATCAATACGGGAGCGAGTGGGATGGATTCCTTATTCAAACGATTTTTTCATGATTGGACGCTTTGTTAGTCACTTGATGAGTGACCAAACTTAAAAATGCTTCCAGATTGTAGTTCTACTCCGTCACTGGCTGACTAAATCTTGGAAAACTTATTTTTTCAAGTCATAGGCGCCAACTTCATGGTGCGTTGGGGCATTAAAAAAATAAAATTGTTTCTTTAGAACTGGTATTATTCTTCCTTTCCACTTGTCGTCCACTTGCATATATTGCAGTTAACAACCGACGATGTAATGAATATCGTAACACCCACAAATGTGAGGTTGAATTTTCGAACGAAGAGAGGAGTTTAAAACATCTCTCTTAAGAAACAAGTTTTTTTTATATAAAATTTTTTTCTTCATTATTGAACGCTGTTAGTCATTTGATGAGCTGAATCTTTTAAAGTAGCTGCTAAATAGTGTTACTGCGTGACAATAGTTTGGAAAGCTGTTATTTTTTTAGCCCGGATGTGTTTTAAAGCCAACAAACAATATTTGCTGGGATATTTCGCGGAGACTGTAAAGTTTTCAGTTTTAGAGCATTTATGAGTGATGAAAAGTAAATTCTCGTCCTCTTTCTTTTAAGCGATTTTCCTGTTGTATCGTATTTTTATTGATAATATTTTTTCGAAAACTGTCAGCAAACACTTGTTACACGGTTAAATTCCAACGTTTTAAATATTTAGTCGTAGAAACAAAATGGTGTAGATTTTTAAACTTAGTCCACTCTTAGAGTGAAAATTAGTAATTAAAGTTTTTCTATCAAGGCTCTTATTTTGTCCAGTTGTAACACAGACTATTTTAAACTAAAAACGCAATTGCAGTTTTCCTTTTTTAAAAAAAAAATTAGATTGTTCTCCAGAAAAGCTCATTTAATTTGTCAAATCTCTGCTGCAAATTACAAAAAAAATGTTTCACTGCTTATTTCAATTCTTGAAACTAAATATTTACTAAAAATAATTGTGAAAGACTTTACTTACAATGACTATTTACTACATTAGTGCAATATATGTGCGATTTTGGATTTTAAGGATTTGACGTCCTGGAAAATTGAGTCTGTTATTTTAAAGCCATCCTGTATATTAAAACAACTGCTTATAGCTTATACACTAAAAATAACACAATCATTAGCCGAATACGACTTATCAAAGACAACCTGTATATTTTTGAGTTTGAAGTAGATACTTACATACATATAACCGGTAAGAAAAGTCTAAGCTGTTACTCTCTGTTTTTGAGGTTATTTAATTTAAAATATAACTATTTTAAAAATGGATTTTAATAATAGTACATTACTAGTTTTGGAACAAAAAAGAGATAAAAAGTTCTTGGATCGAGTTTCAAAAATCATATTTTTCTACAATCATAGAAAAACTTGAACTTTTTACATTGAAATTAATACGCGAAATTGATCATTTGTTGTTAAGTGCAAAATATTTAAGATCGATAATTAAAAAGTACCGTAAATCGATCAAAATTTTGTCAAGAATTTGAAGAATTAAACTTTAGGTAATATTACTCCAAATGCACTCATGGGAGTGCAAAAGACTCATAAAAGTGTTAAAACGTGGTAGATACGTGAGAAATAAATTTTGTCTTTTTAAAAAAATTTGTCTATACAGTATGTCCCCGGATTGAATTTTCAAGAGGAAAAAAAATTATCTTTAATTTTACGTCAAAACTGCAAAGGAAAAACATTTTTTGCTTCACATGAAACGAGCAAATCTGTAATTAAAACTCCATTATTCTAACTCAGTAGAAAGAAAAGTTTATTATTCTTTTGATTTTGGACTTAATAATAATAATATTTTTACTCTGCTTTTTAAGTGCTATCACATTGGTGGTTTTATTATTATGACAATGATATTACTTTGACAATTGAGTTTACGTAAGTTAAATAACAAAAATTTTGTGAAAAACATAATTTTAATAAATAGCAAGTCAAAGAAACAGCTTTAAGATAAAAACCAAAGTAATTTTTATTAACAACTATCATTATTTAATTAATAAATCAATTGCCAAAGTGACATATAGTTGTCAAATAAATAAAAACGCCAATGTGATAGGGTTTAAAAAGCACAGAAAAATTATTCTAAGTCGAAAATCAAGAGAAAAATTAACTTTTTTTACTGAATCATAATAATGAAGTTATTAATTACAGATTTGCTCGCTTCAGGTGAAGCAAAAAATGTTTTTCCTTTGGAGTTTTGGCGTAAAATGAAAGATAAAAAAAATTTCTCTTGTAAACCCAATCCGAGGACATACTGTATATTATTATATAGAGCAGAGCAGAGAAACTGACGTCGGCGTGGTGGTATAGCAGCATAAGGTCTTGCTTTCCTTGAGGTAAGGTCAGGGGTTCGAATCTTGGTAAATTCACTAATTTTTCTCTAATTCAAATTCAAATAAAATTCAAATAAATGCAAACCATAAGAAAGAGAAAAAGTATAAAGAGCATAAAAAAATAACAAAACAGCTTTTTCTTCGTTACCCCGAAATTTTGATTTTTCTAAGAGAAATTCAAACATATGCTTTATGTTGGTGGGGCAGATTAAATGTTATAACGGCGCTGCTATAGACTATGACTAGTGCAGTTAGTAGTGAAAAATGTCGAATGGACCTTTCCATAAATTTCTGAAACAACGAAAGAGACAAGAAAAAACAACATTGTTTAATGTCAATAATATCATGATAAAATTAAAAATGCTCAAGCGCAAAAACAGAATTTTTACTCTATGGCCGAAAGGTAAAACTTATACTTTTAGTCATAAAAGAGTCACTTTTGTAACGTGTGTCGATAAAAAATTAATTTGTAATAAAAATATTTTTTCGTCACTTTTTTGAAAACAAATCTTGTGACCTAAAACTTTAAAAACTCAACCATTCGAAAAATTCGTCACATTCCGTTCTCTTTTTGTATACTATTTGCATACATCATGATTTTACCTAAATATAAAACTTAACTGTGATCTGTATGATATTATTTTAAATTTAATTCCGCGTAGGAATCACTAAAACTCGTCCATAACATTCTCTCCTAACTCAAGAATCTGCAGATTGTCGCCAAAACTGTTTTCGAAATAGATCCTTGTTACCAAACATTCTGCATCGCCCACAAATCGGAATCAAAAATAAATCAAATTTTTAGAATAGCGTTAAGCATTATGACCTTTCGCGTCAAGTTCAAATAAATAAAAATAGAATACTCTTTTATCCAAAAATTTGATTTTTGCAATTGGTACAAGTGGTTTTTGCATAGTAATCGAACCAACAATTAATTGGTCCTCATTTAACCGGAATGTGCGTATCTTGGCCATCATTATATCAGGCGAAAAAAGCCGAAAATTTCCGAAGTTATATTTATCAAGTGCCGACGCTGGCGTCGCGTAGCTCAGATTACCTGTAGAGGGGCGTCGTCCTTTTATAGACACGGCGTCCATTTTTGACGCGGAGGCGACGCCAACAGCCTACCTGGATGTCTATTCTTTGGGGCAGTTTTCAAAAAACTAAACTCAAAATATCAAAGTTTTTGACAAATTGCATAAAATCATATTTTTGGAAACTGGACCAAAATACTTAAAAAAGTAAAAATAAGTGAGTGTTTATTTTTTTATTTTTTCAACTTCGAAAATATTTCAAAAAAACTTGTTCTATTCTTGGCGCAAGTACTTCACTTCCGATGGGAGTGAAGTTAATTAAGCCTCTAATTAGGTGTTTAATGAGGCTCTTGACAGACGCCGAAAAGTACACCCATTATGCCTGAGTTAATGGTCAGGGATCCAGTGGCGTATCAGTTGTCCTTATTGTTCAAAAACGAACATTTAATTTTAGAGATTAGAGCAATTGTGAAACGCTTGAAACGTTCAGTATTTCCTGATGGTTGAATCTTAGTATGAGACATTGGCAAGGGGCCAACACCCACCTTGGTTAAAATATTTGGGTTATGAGTCAAAAGTTTTTTCTTCGTAAGGAGTTTGAATTCAATTATGATTAAAATAGTTCTGACTCTGGGATAACCCTAGAGATGGGAGAGTTGGTTTAATAATTTTCCATTTGTAATTTTCACTTCATTAATATTTTTTTATTATATTTCTTAAAATATTGATAGAAAACAATATGTGTGCTAAAAATTACAACCAGATGCAGTGTTTCAACCTAATTTTTATTTTTAAATTGGATACGATATTACTGATATTAGCGCCACGACTGTTAAATCTTCTAACTAATGCAATACTAATTTTTGCAGAAAACTGTAATTTGATAAAAAAAAATATACTTTAATTTTACGTCATTTAAAACAAGATTATTTTTAATTCTTGTGATAAGGTATAAATCATTATTGTAACAATTTTAACAAAATTGACTTATTTTTTGTGAAGAGGTTGAAATACGCATCTGGCCCATTAGCTCAGTTGGTTAGAGCGTCGTGCTAATAACGCGAAGGTCGCGGGTTCGATCCCCTCATGGGCCAAGCTTTATTTTTTTAATACTAATAGTTTTTATGCTTATTCGTTTTATTTTTGTTCACTGTAGTAATAATAAATGCTATAAAACGAAAAATTCGTTTAAAACACTATTGACAATTTATTAACAAATTTTTTAATTAATTATAATTTTTATCTAAATTTATACTTCTGTTTGTTAATAAAATATAACCAGAATTATTTAATATTGTTCTAAATAGTTTTCTGTTGAGTTGGCAACCCGTTATTCGCTCTTGTTTGAGCGGTCAACTACCAAGCTAGTTGAAAGCAATAATAATAAAAATAAAATTGTGATGTTTTTGTTTTATACTTTTGGGTCTATTAAAAATTAAATAATAATTTGATTAAAATTGTTTCAAGTAACTTTAAATAAATTTCACAGAAACAAGTTAATAAAACTTTTCAAAAATAATTAAATTAAATCAACTTTTGTTCAGCACGGTGATTTAAAAGGGTCAGACTATCTCTTATTATGATGTTTCGTTTCAATTTTAGTATAATCAGAGTTGGCAGCATTTTTTTCGCACTCAAAATTTGACAGTTTATTTTGATAAATTATGACAATCAGCGTTGCCAAACAACAAAAATTAACACCTACTAGACAGGCGGCGTATACAACGTGTTTCAGAAATAAGTACATTAATTTTAACTACGTGCAGAACTCGCTAAACGCAACATTTTTTTATTTCATTGTCACAAAAGGCATTTTGTGCAACTGTTTATAGTTATACTATTGTTTTTTAAGTGAGAAATTCTTGTAAATCAACCTATTTCACTGAAACTAATGCAATTAGAGCTATTTTAAGCGATTTGGGTACTGCATATGTCCATAACACGTGTTACAATCTTGTTGTTTTTGAGGAAGATCTGTTACTGGTTAAATTTAATGTACTTATTTCTAAAACACGTTGTATAGGCTACTTCTATCTTAGTTTTTGCAAAGAAATTTTTGTTGTTGTTTAGCAAACCTGACTATTTTTCAAGTAAAGCATAAGAACGACGAGTTTTTGAGACAATAAAAGTTAAATACTGAACTTTGAGTTAACTGTCATTTTTATTGCTCTCATATACTTATTTTGGTACACACTGTAATACAACGGATCTACACTTTTATTATATCAATTTGTTTTGCTTCAGTTTGAACAAAAATTATATTTTGTTTCAAAATTTAGCAGTGTACAGGGTGCTGCATTTTGGATGTCCGAATAGGGAATCTCCGAAACTAAGAGGTTTAGCCAAAAACGGGTAATACATTCTGGGGCTCATTTTTTGAGAAAATAATATTGGTTAAAACCGCATCCCGCTATCGTCTTTTGTTTTCGACTTATAGACAAAAATTGACATTTTAACGAAATCTAAAAAAATTCATATCTACGTTATTATGGAAGACACAGATTTGAAAAAGGACATTAGACACTTTTTTACGTAGAATTTAATAATGTAGTTAACAATTTTTTTCAGTTGTTTATTTAGCCGTAATAAAATAAACTTGTATTTTTTTAAATGGGAATCATWGRTGGCTWTGTCATTTTTAAAAARSYTKKTTTTTTTCTTATCTAAAAAATATATATTTSTAACAAATTATTATARTACATTTTTAGCAAAAAATTATCTTTGATTTTTGTTCGCAGTTGGCCATGAAAAAATGTTTCATCTTCAACTAAAAGGATTTAAACTATATTATTCAACGTGTCACTAATGAAAGAGTTTTCAAAGTACTAAGTAATGAAAAAAATGCAAAATAAATCGTAAATCAACTTATTGGCCACTAATAACATTTCTTTGTTTTTAAACAAACTAATATTATCATTGAAACTTCTAGTGATACATAGAGTGTTTTAAAAAAAGCCGTTTTAATTCTTCAATAAAATATATTTTATATGACACAAAAATGACGATATGGCTATTCAAATACCCAAATTCCGTCTATGTGGAACGTTATCCTACCTCCATTAGATCATCAAAAAATTGTTTTTTCTAATTGTGTTGACTGTTGACACATTTGTTTTTCCTATTTTTGGATTTTTTAAAAATATGTAATAATTTTGTTTTGAGGCGCTCGCATATTTGTTCAATACTTCTACCGTATCGTATTTTTTAAATTTTTATAATTTTATCTATTTTTTCATCTATTTTACAGTTCACAAAAGTCTTATTGATTATTATTTACACATTTGGAGTGAAATAGTTTTTC